TTGATAAGGAGACAGTTGATAAGGAGACAGTTGATAAGGAGACAGTTGATAAGGAGACAGATAAGGAAGAGACAGGTTTGAAGGAGATAGATAAGGAGACAGTTGATAAGGAGACAGCTGATAAGGAGACAGTTGATAAGGAGACAGTTGATAAGGAGACAGTTGATAAGGAGACAGTTGATAAGGAGACAGTTGATAAGGAGACAGATAAGGAAGAGACAGGTTTGAAGGAGATAGATAAGGAGACAGTTGATAAGGAGACAGATTAAAAGGAGACAGATTAAAAGGAGATTGATAAGGAGGCAGATCACGAGGAGACAGTTGAGAAGGAGGCAGACAAAAGAGACAGATAAAAGAGAGGCCGATGAAGGAGACAGATAAAGGAGACAGATAAGGGAGAGACAGATAAGGAGGAGACAGACAGAGGAGACACAGAGACGAGACAAAGAGAGGAGACAGATAAAGGAGACAGATAAAGGAGACAGATAGAGGAGACAGATAAAGGAGACAGATAAAGGAGACAGATAAAGGAGACAGATAGAAGAGACAGATACAGGAGACAGATAGAAGAGACAGATACAGAAGACAGATAAAGGAGAGACAAACAGAGGAGACACTCAGAGGAGACAGGAGAAGGAGACAGCAAACGAGCAGAGACAACAAGAGGCAGCAAAAGGTGAAGCACAATTAAAACAAACAAACATAACTCATCATCATAAAACAAATAACGAAGAATAATAATAAAAAACATAAAGAGATGATACACCGCACAAACAAAGAGAAAAGGAGACAGCCGATAAACACTAACAGGGACCCTCGCAGACACAGCAGCAACAGCAGCAGCAGCAACAGTAGCAGCCACAGCAACAGCAGCAGCAACAGCAGCAACAACAGCACCAGCAGTAGCAACAGCAACAGCAGCAGCAATAGCAACAGCAGCCGCAACAGCAACAGCAGCAGCAGCGACAGCAGCAGCGACAGCAGCAGCAACAGCAACACCAGCAGCAGAAGCAGCGACAACACCAGTGCCAGCAGCAGCAGCAGCAGCAACGGCAACCGCCGCAACAACAACATGAATAGCAGCAGCAGCAACGACAGCAACGGCAGCAACAGCAGCAGCAGCAACGACAGCAGCAGCAGAAGCAGCAGCAGGACCTGAGGAGGTGAGCTTCTGCTGCTGATTGATCTTGGGTCTCCCGCAGCTGCTGCGAGAGTCTCCTCGTCTCTGCCTCTGTCTCCAGACGCAGGCGCTCCGCCCTGCAACAGCAGCAGCAGCAGCAGCAGCAGCAGCAGCAGCAACAGCAACGTTCGGCTGTCTCCTCTCCTTGGGGCTGAGCTCCCGGAGCCCTTTCTTTAAAACTCCAGTATTGCTGCTGCAGCAGTTGCTTCTGCTTCTGCTCTAGCTGCTGTTGCTGCTGCTGCACTTGCTGCTGTAGGATCTGCTCTTGCTTCTGATCTTGCTGCTGCTGCGGCTGCGTGTGCTGCTGCTGCAGCTGTTTCTGTCTCCCTATGTCTCTGTCTCTCTCTTTCTTGTCTCTGTCTCTGTCTCTCGTTTCTACTTCTCATCCTCGCTCAGCAACAGCAGCAGTAACAGCAACACCAGCAGCAGCAGCAGCAGCAGCAGCAGCAATAGCAGCAGCAGCAGCAAAGAGCATGCCTTGCAGTATATTCTTCTCTAAGTCTTAACTCCAGCTGCTGCCGCTCTGCTGCTGCGAGGGCTTTCGTCTCAGCAAGCTCTCTCTCCTGCTGTCTCCTTTCCTGCTGCAGCTGCTGCTGCTGCTGCTGCTGCATCTCCGCTCTTTCGATAGCACACTGCTTCTGCACCACACCCAACAAAAGCAGCAGCAGAAGCAACACCATCAGCAGCAGCAGCAGCATTAGCAACATCATCATCATCATCAGCAGCAGCAGCAGCAACGCCATCAGCAGCAGCAGCAGCAACAACACCAGCAGGAACGTACACCAGGGTTAGCAGCAGCCGCAACCGAAGCAGCGAAAAAACAAAAGCAACAATTGGAGCAGCAGCAGCAGCAGCAGCAACTACTGCTGGTGTTGCTGCAGTTGCTCCAGCAGCATCAGCACCAGCATCAGCATCAGCAGCAGCAGCAGCAGCAGCAGCAAGATTTACCTCAAGATCTGCTGCTCTTGTCTCTAGTCTCCTCAGCATCGCCCTTGCTGTCTCCAACTCTTCATCACGAGCAGCAAGATGCGCCTCAACCGACAGCTTGGTGCTGCAAAACAAACACACTCTGTCTTCTGCTGCTGCTGCTGCTGCTGCTGATGCTGCTGCTGCTGCTGCTGATGCTGCTGCTGCAGTTGCCGTTGCTTCTGATGCTGCTGGTGCTGCTGGTGCTGCTACTACTAGTGCTGCTGCTGATGGTGCTGGTGCTGGTGCTGCTGCTGCTGCTGCTGCTGCTAGTGCTGCTGCTAATAATATTGTTGTTGTTGATGCTTCTGCCGGCTCTGCTGCAGCCGCTGCTGCTGGTGTTGCTGGTGCTGATGGCTGCTTCTGCTGCTGCTGCTTCTGGTAGTGCTGCTGCAACTGCTGCTGCTTCGTCTGATGCTGCAGCTGCTGCTGCTTCCTCTGTTACTGCTTCTTGTGCTCCAACTGGAGTTGCTGCTGCTGCTGCAGCAGCAGCAGCAGCAGAGCCGCTTACTCCTCAATCACACGGATCTGCTCCTCATATCTGTGAAAAGAAGCGCAAGACTCTCTAAGCCCTAAACCCTAAACCCTAAACCCTAAACCCTAATTGCTTTTTCTAAGGCCCACAGGTGATGTGCAACATGCGAAAGTGTTTAGGGTTTAGGGTTTATCTTTTCGTCGTCTCCATTTGATAGCGGTCTTCTGCTTTGCTTGTGAGGGTTTAGGGTTTAGGGCTTAGAGTAGTTGTTTTCAGGATTAGGGTTTAGGGTTTAGGGTTTAGGGTTTAGGGTTTAGAATTTGAGGGGTTTAGGGTGCTCTTTTGATCGTCGGGGAGTAGTGTTTAGCGTTTATGGTTTAGGGTTTAGGGTTTAGGGTTTAGGGTTTGCCTGAGTTTGCATGCATGTTCTCTGTCTCTCGCAACGGCATCAACAGCAGCAGCAACACATTCTTGTAGCTGGAGAGGGGACGCATTCAGCAGCAGCTGCAAGCAGCAGCTGCTGCTGCTGCTGCTTATTCTGTCTAGGGTTTTTGCTGCTGGTGCTGCTTCACATACAAACCCCCAAAGGTCTGCTAAGCGCCGCCGCAAAGACGAAACCTCCTCCGTTGCCTGCACAAACCCTAAACCCTAAACCCTAAACCCTAAACCCTAAACCGTAAACCCTAAACCCTAAAGAGATAATCCAGTCGAGATGAGCAGAACCAACGAAGCAAAAAACAACAGAGCGGATGCAATCACTAAACACCAAACCCTAAACCCTAAACCCTAAACCCTAAACCCTAAACCCTGAAGAACATAAGCAAAACCGTGGGCGGTAAACCACCGTATCTGCACAAATTATTCCTTTTCGTACTGCGGCATCTCACTACGCAACTTGGCATTAGGGTTTAGGGTTTAGGGTTTAGGGTTTAGGGTTTAGGGTTTAGGGTTTAGGGTTTAGG